AGAGGATCTTTTCAAAGAAAATTACAAAACACTTTTAGAAGTAACATAAAGAGAACTGAAGATGGAGAAGAATATCCCTTGCTCATGTATAGAAAGACTCAATATTGAGAAAATAAAAATACTGCCGAAAGCAATTTACACATTTAATGCAATCCCAATACAAATACCAATTCCATTCTTCAAGGAGATGGAAATGGTTATCTCCAATTTTATTTGCAATAGAAAGAGGCTCAGAATAAGCAAAACACTTCATAAAAAGAGAAACAAGGTAGGAGGCATCTCACTCCCTGATTTCAAATCCTACTACATTGCCGTGGTGGTTAAGACAGGATGGTACTGATACAGTGACAGACACATGGACCAATGAAATAGAATTGAGAACCCAAAAATCAGCCCATCTACCTATGGTCAACTGATTTTTGACAAGGAGATGAAATCAGTTAAGTGGGAAACCTACAGCCTTTTTAACAAATGGTGCTGGCAAATTTGGAAAACTACCTGCAGAAAACTCAAGCAAGATTCACACCTCACTCCATACACAAAAACCAATTCAAAGTGGATTATGGACCTAGGACTAAAACCAAGGATTATAAATTTCATTAAAGAAAAGCTTGGAAGGATCCTAGAAGTCCTAATCCAAAACATAAACAGTCTTCCAAGCATCCTGGAAAATCTACAAGCAGGAAAGAATAAAATAGTTGAATGGGACTTTCTAAGAATCAAATCCCTATGCACATCCAAAACTCTCTCCAACAGGGTAAAAAGGGAAACCAGAGATTGGGAAAAAATATTTTATAATGACATGTCAGACAAGGACTTATATTTAGAATTTATAAAATATTCGAGCACCACAACAAAATAAAGGTAATTTATTTTTTAAAGGTATTTAAGTTACTTATGTGTTGGCTTGAATATTTAGATTTATAGTATAACATCAGTGCTGTTGCTGTTGTTGCTAGGTGCCATCAAGTCAAGAATGACTCATAGCAACCCTATGAGCAACAGAACTAAGGGCTCTCTTCTCCTGTGCCATCTCACTATGTCTGGCACCTTAGGGTTTATTGCTCCAGTAACTATGTCAATCCTCCTGGTTGAGGGTATTCCTCTCCTTCACCATCCTTCCATCTTTCCAAGCACAATGTCCTTCTCCAAGGGTATGACATCAATAACCTTGAATAAGTTAATTTACTCATAGTATTATCCTATTTACAAATATTCTGCTGTCTTTTGAAGAAAAAATATTTCTCTCTTTATAATTTGTATAATTACTACAGTGTGTACTTAGAAGGCACAGTCAAGTTCTGAGAAATACTAACATTTCCAATACTAAAGTTAATTATGTTTCACTTGATATGTGACTGAAGTTAAATTCCAATTTGCAATCTGTCACATGACTGTCCAAGCAGATTGGTAGGCACTCAAAATATACTATTTAATGTAGAAAAAAAGACCAAAATTTATTTCCAATTGGGAACAAATTCTCAATTCCAACCTAGACTCTGGAAAATATAAAAAGTGTTTAAAATATATAATTTTACAATGGAAAATGATACATTTCAATAACTTTTCTAAATAAACACTCATAGGAAAACACTGAATTCTACATGTTATTATTCTGCCCTTGTTATTATCATTAAAATAAAAATCTAAATTACTTGGGGCATGTTTTCAGGAGAGGCAAGTCTCTAGAAGAAGACGCCTTCCTGTATAAGTAGAAAATCAGAGAAAATGAGGGAGCCCTTCAATGAGATGTATGGGCACAGATACAATGGACAAATAGCACAGTCATTCTTGTGAGAGTGATACAGGATTGGGCCACATTTTGTTCTATTACACATAGAGTTGTTGAGTAGGAATTGACACCATGCCACCTAACAACACCAAAAGACTTAATAATGTAAGGGGATTTGTGAGGAGAATGCAATATATGTTGGTTTCTCATTAAGATAGAAATGATGTTTGAAAGGGGAATTGATAAATCCTAAGAGAAAAATGCATGTCTTTCTCAAAGGACAATGAGAGAAGCTGGAAAATATTATCTAGAGGTTTTAGTAGAAGAGGAAAAAAAATATATTTGTTCTGATATTCAAATTAATTAAAGTCATGGGACCACATTCCCATAAGATAGGCCTTGATAAGACATTTGGTCCTGAGTGTCTGCCTATCAGTTTCCATGTGAGCACTCTCTTTCATAAACTAGAACCTTAGACTCATGATCCAGCTGAAATAAGAAAGAATAAAATACACAAAGTTCTATACCAACAAAATAATATTTTCTAAATTATCCTGCAAGCCAGAAGATAAGGGCATATCAAAGAAGAAATTGGAAATGAAAATATCACGCTTTTATATGGTAACATGCTTCTGGATCAACATCTTTTCTGTTAAATATCATTGTGTATTTCAGCTTGCTTCACTCATATTTTATCTCTTTTTCTATTAGCATGGCAATATTAATCAAATAATTTTATGTACCCAGGAATTTTGTGTAGTATATGATAGTCATAGACTATGACAATTATAAATGTTCATTACCACTGACAAGTAAATATTTAATATTATTTTATCTGTTTTAGGTGGATATAGACTAAACTAAAATAATTTTTGAAAACTCATTGCATTTCTCTTAGTAATGATATGGATTTGAAAGGTGTATGTTCAACACATACTGAGCATCAAGATAAGGAAAGAAATTCATGCCAGATGAATTGGTATTTTTAGAATGCAACGCTGAACAGAGTTATGAGCCTTACCTTATAGAACTCAGATGATCATTTTAGACGGACGAAAATGTGATATATATAT